TTGTGTACTAGCACTTATCTTCTCCCAGAGGCCCAGTTGACCACTGTACCATTCACTTTCCATGACCATCTCATGTTCAATCAGCGATAATTATATGTGTGTGAATTCCTGCTTTGTTCTACTTTTCTTCCAGTGGGTTTTATAGCCCCTTGACAGGTATAGCTTCCATACCAGTTTAGTACATTCATGATGATGCTTTTGGCAGCAAATAATAAAATTCCTGGCTTCAAAACTGACAATAAGCACCTTTATCTCATGTAATTATATACAAAATGAATGAGATGTTAGATTGGCTCTTACATGGTTCTTTATCTTACTAGACCCTCCTCAGAGCACAGATCAGCCAATGTTGATCTCCATGTGTGTGATAGGTAGGTTTATTGTGCCAACCTGGCCAATATGAACATGTGGGATTAATAAGGTAACAGTTTGATTAGAGGGCAAAGATAAATGGCTTGGCAAGCCCCACCTCTTTTCTCTCTTGCTCTCTGGTAATCAGAGGAGCCTGCAGCTGCCTTAGCTAGTTCTCTGCCTCAACTTGTGAGCTACACTACCTGTGGGGCACTCAACCCGGGGGATCGTGTCGCTAGAGCTTGAGGTTCCTTTGAGACCTGCTTCACCACGCTGCTGGTGTATACATTGCTTGAGCTGCCTGTCATCTGGCTGACTGTTGGTGACCCGCCCTGCTGTTTGCTGCTCCTGGCCAGACTGCCTACATTGCTCTACAGAAGACTCAGTTATCTGCTTCCTTGACCTTCGACCGAGCAGCCCTTCTGAGTTGACTGTAAGTTACCTGTTCCATGGAAGTGAGTTGAACTGAGCCCTCTGTACCACTGTGTGGACTAATTAGTTGTTATCCCTATAACGCCTGAATTTTTAATTCCAGGAAAATTTTTTGTTGTTGTTTGTATTCTTTACTTTCATAGTTATCAATACAAAAACGTCGCACTCAGCGTTATAGGGTTAAATTCCTTTGTGCGCTATCTAGCTCTCTTTATATAACCATAAGTGTCCTGGTTTTGTTTCCCTAGAGAACCCTGTCTAACACAATGTGGTTGAGAAATGGTTACTAGAGATGACTGGAGCTGCCGCATCTATCTATATATGCATACATATGTATATGTAGAGAGAGAGTGACTTCTCTTCGAAGTCACATCCAGCCCAAATCTGAGTGCAGGGACCCCTGTAATTTTAAATACAGGTGTCAAGGCAGGATCCTAGTCTTGTGGGAAGGCCATCCAGGTAAAATAATAAACCAAAATAGAAAACCAATCTCACTGCCATCTAGTCAATTCTGACTCATGCCGGCCGTTTGAACAGAATAGTACTGCCCCTAGGGGTTTCTGAGGCTGTACATTTTGATAGGAGCAGAAAGCCTCTTCTCCTTTCCTGTGGAGTTGCTGGTGGGTTTGATTGCTGATGCTGTGGTTAGCAGCTCCCTCTGCCACCAGAGCTCCTTAGAGAAGGGAATAAGCAAACAAACCCATTGCCGTCAGGTCGACACTGATGCATAGTAACTCTATGGGCGAGGGTAGAACTGCCCGGTGAGTTTCCAAGACTATAACTCTTTATGGGAGTAGAAAGCCTAGTCTTTGTCTGCCAGAGGAACTGGTGCTTTTGAAGTGCTGATCTTGCCATTAGTAGCTCGACCCTATAGCACCAGAGCTCCTCATAGGTAAGGGAGTAGCCAGTACAAGAACTCTAAGCAGGGACTCTGCCTACTGCGTTCAAGGACCCTCAAGGATGACTAGCTGAAGGAAGGAAGAAATGAGATTAGAGGGTAATAGAGTGAAAAGATGGGAATGAAGAGGCAGGGAGACTTCAGAGCACATCAAGAAGGCTACACTTTATCCTGGATTATGGGTTATAGTACCAAGATATTTAATTGGCAGGGGCAGGATGCGCTGAGTAGTGTCTTTTCTGAAAAGGGGGCCAAATAAGTTTGGGTTAGATAGAAGCACCACCTTTAGCAGTGTATTAGCATATTGGGGGGGGGGCGGTTATGTTGAGAAAACTGTAGCTTCACCTGTTAATATTTTTGCTTAGTAAACTTTTCTACAATTTGGCAGCAATACCTATTGGCCTTTCCTTGTATTTTGTGAGAATACTTCCTTTAGCTGAGAATGACTCTTGGGAAGTCCAGTGGAGGTACGACATGATGGTGTGTTGTCACTGTTGATCTCAAGCCTGATTCATCCCCCCTCCCGAGCCCACCCCCGAAACCACGAAGTATAGCTTCCCAACAGGTTTCGCTGACGACCACTGTGCACTCCTCCCGGCTGGGGTTTTTCTCTCCACCCTTCCAGCTTCACTACTGTCATTCCGAAGCATTTGCACCGTGCCTGCTGTGGAGATGGTGCTGGCACAAACCGCAGAAGATTTAGCAACCGGTCTGCATTAGGCAAGCCTCGTGTTGAATGCAAAGGGCAGGTTCTGTGCAGCTCTTTGAGGAAGGAAGCAGTGGTCAAAATTCTCATCAAGAAGCCCAGGGAGAAGAGCGGTGCTGTCGCTAGACTTGGTGTCAGTCAGGGAGGCGACTCGGGGATCCACTGTGCCCCCGCCCCCACACCTCTTCCTCTGGTACCAGACCACACAGAGTTCTTCATAATGTTGCTTATTATACATTTGAATCACAGACTCGCTGTGATACACTTGCAAGTGACTTATATATTTCTTAGACTACATCATGTGAATACAATAAAAAAATTGTTTTGCAACATCTTTCAACATTGAAGTACAACATTAGTTACAACATTATGAGTAACTGAGCAGAAAAGCCTTTCCATTCTCCCCTGCCCCCTTTCTTCCTTTAATTGCTACTTGGTGCTCAAAAAAGTTACTGACCTAGACTCACAAATACTATGGACTTCAATATTGTAACTAAACATCAGACAATTTGACAAAACCAGAGACTGTCATCACCAGCACTAATGAGACTGAACAGGTGTGTAGAGGTGGTATGGTGCTTATGCATGGGGCCGTATCAGCGGTTCAAAACCACCAGCAGCTCCACTGGAGGAAGACTGGGCTTTCTACTCCTGAGTAGTGGGATGTGAATGAGAACAGTGCCCTCTCACAGCATGCTCAGGGGAAGGAAAACTCTGACCAACATTGTGTTAGACAGGGTTCTCTAGAGAGATAAAACCAAATTGTTGATAATAGATTTATTTATAAAGATAATTAGATATATAATAAGAAATGAACTGTTAAATCATATACAGATAAATATATAATACAAGAAATGAACGGTTAAATTATAAAGCACTATAAATGGCTCACTGGCACTCACTACTATGAGAGAGAGTTGTGAGAGACTAGCAGTCCTTCAAGTCTAGTCTGCTGCCAGATCTTCCTCTATTTATAGAGAGAGCTAGGCTATGTCAGCACAGCAGCCAATCAGAAGGCAGGTCACCTACTGCCAGCCAGGTCACCAACAGCCAGTCCCCAGCTCCAGAGATGTCTTAAAGGGACCTCAATTTATAGTGACACAGTCCACAGGCTAGGTGTCCCACAGGTAGTGTAGCCTTTAAATTGAGGCACAGAACAAGCAAGGCAGCCGCACACTGGTCCGATGATCAAAGAGCGAGAGACAAGAAAGGCAAGACTCACCAAGCCATTTATCTCTCTGCCCTTCAGTTAGTCCCACTTGTGTTTATCGACTAGGCTGGCACAATAAACTATCTCAAACATCATTTTAATCGGGGGAATAAAGACAGGCTTGATCACACAGCACAGTAGAAGGATCAAAAAGTAAACTAGCATAGAGTGTTAGCTGTGTGGGTATATGGATTCATGTAAGCTGGACTTACGAGAAAAAAAAAGTTTTTGTTACAACTCCAAGCGTGTTTCTATACAAATGAATACATTTCGACAGAGACTCGAAGCCAACATTTTATAGACAGTCACTTTGGGTGTCGGAGTCCCTCAGTGTGGTCGTATCCCTGTACCACCCCAGTGAGGCAGCCTGAGAAGTGAAACCAAAGAGCAGGCTGTAGGAGGGCAGGCAGCCTCTGGGGAGGACGCACACCGATTTCAGCATCTCCAGCTGGTTTCTCTGCGGTTGGCACCAATGTCCGTCTTTTCCGGTAATCACGGCAAGTATGCGCAGTATCACCTGTTAAAAATCTGAACGGGTCGGGAGGGAAACATGCCGAGATGGTTGAAGCGCCGCTCTCCAGCCCAGTGAGGACTCTGGGAAATTCGGGTGGAGGTAGCAAATGACAGTGTGATGTGTATCATGGTTCAGAGGCTTTGCAATCTTAATGTTTAAACATCTGCTGCTCAGCTCCTAATGATAGTGTAACTAATCATGTTACAATTCAATGTAGACCGATGTTTGGAAACCATCTTATTTGATAGACATCGCATCAGGTAATCCAAGAAAATATGATACTAGAGTAATTTTCAAGTGCCCACTTCCTTCTTTCATTTTGTGCTTGTGCAAGTGTTCCCCGATGAACCGTATCTCATTTCGGATAGGAAACAACACACAGTGTTAAAGCAGGACGGGTCTCACCGCCGTGCAAAGGCGGGCAGACGGGCTGGTGCTGAGGGGAATTGTCTTTGAGTCCATGCCGACTTTTGGGCAGAGACGTCCAGGGCGGCCACAGCTCAGGGAGGCACAGCGCCAGGGCCGTGTTCCTCGTCCGCTCTGGGTGGGCTCCCCTAGCTAACCTGCTGGCGAGTCGTTGAACCCTGAGCCGTTCGCAGCCTGCGGACCACCATCTCTTTGCCTGGACTCCGCAGTCCCGCCCTAAACCCACCGGAGCGAAGGGCTCGCTTCAAAGCAGGATCCACGGTGATGGAGATGCGCTGGGCCCAGAGGCCCCTTGCGTCACGGGTCCGCCCCTTCCCGGGCCTGGGCACAGCGCGTCCGCAGGCCTGCGGCGGTCGGGAAGCAGGATTTCCGTGGTTGTGTAACGGCGCCTCGCGGGCGTGCAGCGGACTGCGGCTTCGCTTGCCGCCTCCGTCTTCGCGCGGCCCCGGCGGTCGGGCGCGCCATGGCCGGGGCAGCCGCTGCGGGGAGCGGCCGGGCCGGGGCGGCGCTGTCGGCGCGCTCGCTGCTCTTCGACCTGCCGCCCGCGCTGCTGGGCGAGCTCTGCGCCGTGCTGGACAGCTGCGACGGCCCGCTGGGCTGGCGCGGCCTCGGTGAGTGCGGCCGCCGGCGCGCCGGGCCGCGACCCTCCGTGGGAACCCGCGGGGGGTGAATGGGGGGGCAGGCCCAGACCCACCCCGGGGGGCGCTGTCGGCGGGGCTGCTTCCAAAACGACGGTCTGTGCAGCGTTGGTGCAACGTCTCAGCGACACGCTGTATTTCTCTAGAGTTGTAAGTTAAAAGATTCTCCAGTTCTGGGGGGGCGCCCTGGTGGAGTCGTCGTGGTTCCGCGTTGGGCTGCGGTCCAGTTCGAAACCACCGGCAGCTCCTCTGGAGAAAGAGGGGGCTTTCTACTCCCTTAAATAGTTACAGTCTCGGAAACACACAGGGCACCGGCTCCCTGTGAGTCGGTGAATTTTGAGCCGGTAGCGATGGCGGGGGCTTGGTGGCACAGTGGGTTACGAGTTGGACCGAGAAGCACAAAGCCAGCACCAACCCACTGGGGCGATTCCACTCTGTCCTATAGGGTCCGAATCATTCGGTGGGGAGTTTTTTTGTTTGTTTGTTTGTTTAATATAGTTACTCATAACAATGAAAACATTTGTCATCAACCCAGGTACATTAATATACCCAAACGACTAAAATTCTGCGCTACTTTATAGTTGAACCTTCTAATGCGCTCTTAGGAGTCCTGGTGGCCCAGTGGGTCCCAGCCAACTACGCCGAGGAAGAAAGGCGAGGCTGCCTGCTGTCACAAAGACTTACAGTCTCAGAACCCTAAAAGGATAGTTCACTTTAATAGGGTCGCTTTGTGTCGGAGTAGACTGGGTGTACTCGATGGAGCCCTGGTGGCGCTGTGGCTTAGGCACTGGATGCAAAGGTCATTGCCATCGAGTCGATTTGGACTCACAGTGACCCTATAGGGCAGGGTAGAACTGCCCCTGTGAGTTTCCGACACTGTAACTCTTTATGGGATTAGAAAGCCTCACCTTTCTCCCTTGGAGTGGCTCAATTGCAGGCCTTTTAGCAGCCCAATCCATCACCTATCAGCCACCAGGGCTGCTAAATGCAAAATAAGCAGTTCCAACCCACCAGCAGCTCTGGACAAGAAAGAAGAGGCTGTTTGGCCGTGTAATGATTCAGAGACTCCAAACCCCTTTGTGAGGTGGCTATCAGTGGGACTTGACTTGATGGCACTGGTCTGTTTCGGGTCAGAGGTGTTATCCGTTCACAACTACAATGGCGCTCAGAATCCGATGGTTCTGTCTACACTCGCCATGGAAACAAGCTGTTTCAATTGCTCCCAGTGTTTTCATAGTCTCTGACATTGTCACAGTTTGGGGGCATTTTAGCTACAATATATTATAATTAGTGTTTGTGAACCTGTATCAGTAACTTTTGTTTTGTTTTGTTTTTGAGAATGAAGTGGCAAAGAAAGGAAAAGGTGAAAAATACAAGAAGGCTTTCCAGATAGGAAATAACAATAATAATAAATCATTTATCAAGAATTCACGAGGGGAGGAGATGGGGGAGAAGAAACAGGAGCTGATAGCCAGGGCTCCAGTAGAAAGAAAATGTTTTGGAAATGTTGATGGCAACATACGTACAAGCGTGCTTAATACAATTGAATGATGGATTGTTATAAGATTTATAAGAGCCCCCCCAAGAAGAGCTCTCCCCCAGCAAACCTTTTTGTACTCCTCGATTTCCTACAGTTACTGAATTTGTGAAAGAAGATTGTAGTCCATCTATTGTGTAGACACTGAAGGGGGCCAGACTGGGACCATCCCCGAGTGAAGCAGGTAGTGGAGACTGGGACAGTGGAGACTGAGACAAGAACTATCTAAAAGGAGCGGTCAACACTCTATCCCAGGTCACTGCTGCTTCTCAGGACGTCTAGCTCAGTGTTAATGGGTCATCATGGTAGCAGAACCTCTTTCTCCTACAGAGTGGCTAGTGGGTTCAAACCATTGACCTTTCAGTTAGCGGCCAGGCACTTTATCCACTGTACAACTCAGAGCTCCTGAATTAAGGACAGTTCCTTATATTTAGGACAGCTCAGAGTCTAAAAGTACCTCCCCACTCTCACTATCTCTTCCCCAAAAATCAAACCCACTACTATCGAATTGATTAGAACTCAGAGAGATCCTATATAGGATTGCTGAGACTTTGAATCTTTACCGGAGCAGGCAGCCTCACCAAGGAACTGACTGTCATTGGGACAGGCTGCCTAAAGCTGACCACGATGCTTGCCGGGGAAGCTGAAAGCCATGCTTATATAGACAGCTCAGAGAAAAAGGTGATCATATAGCAACAGATATTATGTAATCAATAGAGACAGGAATGAGTAGTCCTGTTCAGGAGCCTGAAAGTTGAGGAAAGCTGAGCAACTGCCACAAATGTGAAGTGTCAACATCAGAAATACCCCGGGTTTTTATTACATGCAGGTGTGCAATTTGGTAAAGAGGAAAATGCTTGAACCCTGGCATCAAAGCTGCTGCCTCAGTAGGCCTGGGTTGAAGGTACAGCACCTTGCTGTTTCTCTGCCAGGCCCCATGGAGATTCTTATGCAGCCTGGTTTGAGATCCAATGCTTTAGGTCACTTTTCCTTTTTAATAGTATCTTAACTGTTGTGGATTCAATTATCACTTCCCAAACATGGGGGGGACACAAAGATGTTTACTTGTGGTTTATTGTATATGCAAAGGCATTTGATTGTGTGGACCATCAACTATGGACAGCATTAAGAGGAATGGGAAATCCAGAACTTATGCTCATGCAGAACTTGCACATGGAACAAGCAGCTGTCATTTGAGCACAACAAGGAACTAGAGTATGGCTTTAATCAAGAAAGTTGAGTATCCTGGTTGTATCTTCTCACCACACTTGTTCAGTCTGTATGCTGAGCAAATAATCAGCGAAGCTAGATAGTATGAAGAAGAATCCTGCGTCAATATTGGAGGAAGGCTTATTAACAGATGGCATAACCTGCTTGCTGAGAGTGAGGACGACTGAAGCACTTGATGAAAATCAAGGACTGCAGCCTTCAATATAGATTACAACTCCATGCAAGGAAACCGAAATCCTCACAACTGGACCGATAGGCAATGTCATAATAAACCGAGAAAGACTTTATCTTTTTAAAATCATTTTATTAGGGGCTCAATCAACTCTTATCACAATCCATACTTTTTTTTTTTAACATTTTATTAGGGGCTCATACAACTGTTATCGCCATCCATACACATATCAATTGTGTAAAGCGCATTTGTACATCATTCTCAAAACATTTTCTCTCCACTTAAACCCCCAACATTAGGTCCTCATTTT